CATCTTCGAGGAGAAAAAGCCTCCTTCCTTGAATTTGGCGAACCAATTCTTGCATGTCATGTAAGAGATGACGTCCTCACCGTATGTATCCACAGCTTGGTATGGGTTTCCTTTGCATTCCAGCCGAAATCGTGGAGCAAAACCAAACAGTGGCGCAGGTACGTTTTGTCACAGTGCAAATTGTGCGACATTGTGTACTGCAAATGCAAGCTCGGTGAGTGATAGCTAGTGTAATGAAAGAGTATAATGTACACGTCACGCACACGTGATGACGTAATACCAACATCCATGCGAACGAAATAGGAGAGGATCAAAAACGTGTATAAGAACTTATGCGAAAACCTAATATGTTGTTCCAGGGCATGCCAGAAACCGAGAAGCTTTGTAGAGCATGAGGTAGCCGGCAAAGGTCGAAATGGAGGGAGACGAACACACAACCAGCGAAACGTGCGTCCAGTTGGAAGAGACCACTGCAAAAATTTGTGTATATTTTTCTTGAGCATGCCGGAAACCGAACAAAAATGAACAACATTAGCAAGTAAGCAAAGGTCGAAATGGAGGAGACACACGCACAACAGACAAATCGTGCGCCCCGTTGACGAGGCCACTGCAAAAATTTGTGTATTTTGTTCCAGAGCGTGCGGGAAACCGAGAAGCGTTGTAGAGCATGAGGTAGCCGGCAAAGGTCGAAATGGAGGGAGACGCACGCACAACCGGCAAAACATATGCCCAGTTGACGAGGCCACTGGAAAGATTTGTGGAAGCCGAGCAAAATTGTACAATATAAGCAACGGGCAAAAGTCGAAATGGAGGAGACACACCCACAACCGACAAATCGAGCGCCCAGTTGGTCGAGGCCGCTGTAGAAGTTTGTGGAAGTGGTTCCAGAGCACGCCGTCGCGTTGTGAATGAAAAGGAAAGCAGAAAAGCGCAAAAGGAGGCAAGGAAAGACCGGGTGAGATACTACAGTTTTTAGCCTTCGCGGGCATTCACAAATTGTGGGCAAACGTTCAGTACGCTATAGAAGCGTTGTACTGAGCACGCGATGTGATGCAGAATGGGTCAGAGACTCCAGATGTTCATTTCTTTCGAATGCCCTTAACAGCGAAGCACGAGATCTTGTGTTGTTTATTTGTTTTCGAACCTCTCTAAACAACTGCTTTCAGAAGAAATATCCCTGCTTTATCCTCGTTGTTGAATTTTAGTCTCATCTGCAAGTTTACATGTTTGAACAGCCAAATCTTTCTTCATATGTCACCACTTGCCAAATCAAAAACAGTACCGGAATCCAAAAATCTCCCCGTTCGTGGGAGCATATCTTCTCCTTAACCCGCTACATGAGGAAATTTCTCGTTGTGCTCTCTTTGTGAACAGTTTCAGACGAAGCGAGAAACCCATTCTTCCCGATTAACATCATTTCCAGAACCCACTCTTCCGGAGCAACACCATTTTCAAACTGCCGAGAGCCAAGTAAGCTTCTAGAACGTATTTTCGTCACAGTTACTCGGGAATATCTTATTCGGCCTAGGTTGACGTTAGGTCTCCGCCATGCTTCTGATACCCACACAGAGTGTTAAGAAGATGCAACTTCTCCGAGCCAACGAGGCAGCCGATTATGCAGGATGGGACGAGG